CACACACACACACACACACACGTACGTACGTACGTACGTCGTACGTACATACGTACATACGTACATACGTACATACGTACATACGTACATACATACATACGTACATACGTACATACATACATACATACATACCAGCTTGTGCCTTAAAACGTGTCCTTCTATTCTAAATATATAAATTCTAACGCATGTTATTTTCACCTAAGTTGCAACAAAACAGAGATTTGGTTTACGACTTGTAAGAGTTGTTTTTGTTTCAGTAGAGGTTTTACGGCACTCGCAACTGCATGAGGTCATATGAGCGCCAAGGGGTGGATGTCAAGAGAGAAGTCCTTACAGGGAATCTGACTTACTCTGCTCACCTCTCTAGCTTCAACAGCACAAAGTCTACTTCGACTATCAAGGCACCCCGGAAATATCAGGTCACAAGAGTGTGACAAACATGCAAAAGAAGTAGAGGCGAAATGAAGATAGTAAAGATTAGGACAGAAAAAGCAGCAGTTCCCTGTTGCAGTTCAGGCACAGTTATGAGCATGACATCGATGAATCAGCCAATTTACAATTCTACTCGCACAAGAACAGGTTAATGCCCCCCCCCCACCTTTGGGAATGGCCCAAAGACACTTCCGTGAGTGGCACCACCCTGGGGGTGGATGTAAGAGTAGAAAGAACAACACCAACCTGGACTTGGCTGTGTCTAAAGCGAAGATAAAGGCTGCCACATCCAGGAGGACGCTCGCATCTGTCTGAAGCTGACCGCACATAAACGGCTCGGTGCCAGGAGAATGTAAGGGGAACAACCCTGTAATGATGACGTCACCCGACAAATGAAGGTGGGCGTGGTCAGATGTGGGCGGGGGCGGTGCAGGAGCCTTGCACACGTTGCAAGCAGGGCACCAACCGCTGCAGGTGTTGTGAGGACGTCCGAAGAATTTTGCAGTTGGAGTGAAAACCGACCCGTCTACATGACCTAACTGGAAAAAAAAACCCACATCGTTGAAAATGTGTTTATTCGTATTACGTGTGTGTTGTGACTGTAGGTCTGTTTGTGATTTAGTGTTAGTGTTAGTGTGTGTGTGTGTGTGTGTGTGTGTGTGTGTGTGTGTGTATGTGTGTGTGTGTGTGTGTAATAGTGTGTGGAGGAGGTCTGTGAGAGAGTATGACGTGTGCATGTGTATTGTGTTTGGGGTGTGCGTGTGCTGTGCGCACGTGTTTGTGTCTGTGTGTGTGTGTGTATGAGGGGGGTGTATATATGTGTGTGCATGTGTGTGTGTGTGTGTGTGTGTGGTTGTGTGTGTGTGTGTGTGTGTGTGTGTGTGTGTGTGTGAGTGATTCGATGGCACTTCTGGTAGTTCTTATACCTTTTCAGCTGCACTTTCATTTATGTTTGTCATCTAAACTATCACCCTTCGTGTTATTCATCATCATTACAGCGTATGTAACAGAGTGCCCTCGAACCAATCACTTTCTAAAATAAATTTATAGCAAAATTATTATAGAGAAACACCACCGCAGAATGGGTCGAGGAGTATGACTAGAAAGACAAAAGTACAATCAAATACGTGAGAACTAAGTAAAATGTTTCTAAAATGTGTCGTTCTGCCTCTTCATCTAATGGATCGTCCGAAGACCAAGTACTCAACCTTCGAAATCCCCTATTCCTCGTCTTGTCGTAATTGTAACTACTACAAGAATAGCACCATAGATTGCACCCAAACGACTCGACAAAGATTGCTTACCTCTGCTTTCGTGCGACCGTTTGCGTAGAATGCCACGACGTCAAGTTTAGTAGATGTAAGGACCAAGCTGGAGAAATCCTTGTCTGGATGATTAAAACTATTCAGCTGAGGCAAAAGCTGTTGCACCATTGCTTGAACTACATCAAACTTTTCAGAATGATCTCCGTCTTCCAGAAGTGTCTCTAACCCCGTTGAAGAATTTGCAAATTCAGAGCTCCAAGGATTAACAGAAGTCTTAATTAACGAAACGTTGACAACAGGAGACGAACTGGACAATGAAGAGGAGCGGAAGACAATGTTTGTATCCGAAGATTCTTCCACATCAGGATATTCGTGGAGTTTTTCATTCCAAGGCGTAAAAATATATTGCAGGCGAACGGCTTTGGCATCTGCGTGAACTCGGAGATGATGTAGAAGTTCTTGTGTATCACGTGGTGTCGTCAGCAGAAGGAATACAGACGTTTTTGTCACTCCTGCGAATGCCCGATTGATCACTTGTAGCCCGTCCTCTGATGATGGCAACACGAGATGGATCACAAAACAAAAGGTTCTCGCAGAGTTTGCCGTCTTCAAATATTCTGACAATTTAAGCATTTCTGAATCTTCACTAACTATTACGTTGATGACAGTCCACTGGAGGTGAGCTAGAGTTGCGAGAACATTATCAATAAACGTTATGGGCAGGTCAGCAGATGTTGAAAAGCCTGACTCGTCAAGCACGAGACGAAACTTACTATTGGACACAAACGTGTCCCCAAAGTCGTTCTCTGATTCTATTATTCCAACAACTGAGTCTGGTTGAATAAATATAGGTCTCCTTTCTTGGCTTTCCTGAAAAGTAAAATCACAAGAGTCGACCTGATTGATGACCGTGTAGGCGTGTGCAGTAGAACCACATGTATCAAACACCACGGCGGCAATGTTTCTCCTACCAACAGATGGCAGCAACGCTTGTTGCTTCTTAAACTCATCAACAAATACAACGCTTTCAGCGTATCCTATGGGGTTTGCCAAATTGCACTGGCCATCTGGTGAAATCTTATGAATAGGAAATAAACCTAAAACATACAATTCTCCCTCACCTGAAGTCATAATTGTCATATCGGACATTTTCGAAGGAAGACATCGAGCACAGTATCTACATAAATTCCCACACGACTCTCTGCCTACGTAATCAGTCAAATTGATAGGAAGAAGAAGTGTATGTCCGCGCATCTGGACACTTTTTGATCGTTGAGATAGGTCAAGGCCACTCACGTCACGAATACGATACAACTCTTCCACCAGCTCAACGGTGTTGGTGTTGAGGTCAAGGCGATAAAGGCGCGGGTCAAACATGAGGCACATGACGCTGCTGGACGACTGGGTGTGTGTGCAGAATGAGCTTGTTTTGAGATCTATGTTCGACTTGGAAAGCAGCAAAGAGATACTCGCTACCAGGTGGACGATTTGAGCCCGAGTGTCTGAACTGAAGCTCTGGAACGAGTCTTCCAGAGAACATAGCTGGAAGGTTTCGAAAACGTCGACAGAAGAAGAAGAATTTTGGGAGCTAGTAGTGTTCCTAACATCACTATTCTGTGCACAGCTGCTGTTAATCATCATAGCCAGCTGCCTCCACTGATATTGCATGGATTGCAAGTACAACATATCTGCGCCTGTTGAAGAATTCCTTTCAAAGGATTCCAATACATCTACATCTACATGTTCTACAAAGAGATTTGAAGTAGAGGAGAGCTGAGATGGTGTTGTGTTTGCGTGAAGGTGACCGAAAACAATACGTGGCACGTCTTCGCTGAGGTAAGCAGGCAGCACACACAAACCGTTCTCAGATGCCAGTCTCTGAAACACGTCCATTACACCGTTTGCTGACCGGGGTTGGCCTGGTGATGTTACAGAAACGGCCGTCCAGTTGAACAGATGCGAGATGAACAGTACGTTCTGTAGAAAGCAGAATGATGTCAACCAGTTATAAATCGTACTTACACTCATGCTCAGGATTTGTCTCAAACATTACTGAAACAAGTACAGTTATCTACATCTGGATAAAAAGATCTATACTTCTACAATGCCTAATGGGTCGTTTAATGAGATTCAGTTCTGTGTTATGATAAAGCCTTGTTTGAATTTTTGTTTCCGATTTTTCCCATCAGTTCTTACAAATTTTAAACTTAAATATGATCTCATGTGTTTATTGAATAACTAGTCAGTATCAGACTTCTACAAAGTGTTCTTTGGAATGTATAGATTTAGAAAATAGTAAGAACTCAGTTATCGGAAAAAGTGACATGGTACATAATTTATTATTACCCGGTGACTCATAAAGTCTAACTTGGCAGGCTTCAATTTTGCCAAGAGCTTGATTAAATACAACCTATTCACCTAATATTTATGACTATTAAGGTACATTACCCCCCCCCCCCATCCGCCTTTAGCGCCAAAAAGAGCTTTTAAAAAGACACACATGACTTGCCCATCCCTTGGTATCAAGCATATCGTTTTCTGCTGCTCCAGCTGGTTCATTTCTATTTCCAAAATGATTATGTAGATGAAACCACCTGTTACATAAGAATCGGTTGACTTCTACCAACGAGTCTCGGCCCCGCTCTCTCTCCCTCTCTCTTTCTCTCCAGGTCTCTCGAACTCTGTCTCTGTCTCTGCCTCTCCCTCTCTCTCCTTCTCTCTCTCTCTCTCTCTCTCTCTCTCTCTCTGTGTGTGTCTCGCTTTCCCTCTCTGTGTGTCTGTCTGTCTGCCTGCCTGCCTG